ATACCTTTCCTGAATTTCGTAATTTTATTTTAATAATCAGAAAATATGGAAGATATTAGATATCTGTAATATTTGCCAAATATTTATCACTATTTATAGAAGTATTCTACTGATAGAACAAGCATATATCAATTACAATTGAATTGTTTGTTTAACTATCAGTTGATTTTTTAATTGGCATATATTTCTAATTGAGATGTATTTAATGAATTTATGCATGAACGATAGAAATGTAAAAATAATCTAATGAAGTTTATAAATGTATAAATTTTTTTCACTTTAAAACAGAAATGTGTATCTATGGTATATTGGATTACTAAAAAAAAAATATGTAGATTACAATTCTATCATTATCAATAACTAAACTAATAAATCGATTCTTAATTGACAAATAAAACTAAAAGAAAAAAAAACAATATTTTATGGTCGTCAATGGTTTCTCAGCTGAATTTAGTTCGTGATGAACATTACCCTGAAAAATAGTTTGCTTAAACTGTTTCTAACACTAGAAAAAGTATACAAGAAATAATAAGCATGATTTTGATACATATCACACTGTTAATTGAAAAGATTATAGATTGATGCTAGGTATTGGACGGTTAGAAATGATCAATAAAAAACAGCACAGATAAGCTACGTGCCAGAAAACATTTAACAAAATTATTCTTAGTTTTTAAAGACTTAATGTCAGTAACCAAATCATATCTAAATGTAGTGCAGACAGTTTTGAGTCACTTGAACTGGTAGCTACAATGAGGTTTGATGGATTGTACCGAATCGAGATTAGTAGCCAAACAAACACGAAATTACTTACTACCTGAGGATAAGTTTATGCAATGTAAGACGTCGAAATAACGCAGATCATCGTTAACTTATGCAATCAACCAATTCATTTGTAATAATGAATACTCTCCATTTAAGACTTTTAAATTTATAGCATTAGATAACCAGCAAAAGTAAATGCTTTTAATGAAAATATATTATTTCTCAATATCACCGAAGAAAATGCATTGGACATTAACAAAAACTCATGGTTTGAGATGAATCATACTAATCAAAACAAGCGATCATATGATACACAGAGAGACTACGAGTATAGCATACATGCTAATAAAAGTTGTAAATTGGGGCCATTGGATACCGTTTCAGTGGCTCATGGGTCAAAACATGTGGGTCCTTGGTTCGATCTTTGGCAAGGTCGTGGATCGTCATTATTAAAGAATCCCATTCTATCAAGATACAGCAACCTAGTGCTCGCTGGTTTTTAAAGTTACTGCTATTGTTGTTAGTTCATAACGAATAATACTTAAAGTTATAAATTCCTTATGAAGATCATCATAAAGTATTTCTCTAGTATATAACAATTAGTGATTAACTAATGTAAGTATACCAGCCCCATAGGAAATTATTTGGTCTCTGAATAACCCAAGGGTAACTTCTCAAACTATGAAGATCGGTGACACTGATCCAGTTTTAACAATAAACCTCTATTGTCTGAAGATTTAAGGTATCCTTTGTTAATAAGTGCCAATTAGTACATAACATAAGTAAAGTTTGTCACAGAGAGAATCCGACTACAACCAATAAAAATTCATTTTTCTGAACCTAAAAAATGTTAAATAAATATACCAATAATGGTCTTTTCATTCGATAAATCGAAAAAACATGAGTTATAAACACAAAACAATACAAATGATTGTTTTTTTTGCTCATCTGAACAAAGTTCACTTATCAATGCGTGAAATGTAGACTACTTTTTTACTAAAACATTTTAGTCATACTTGTTACTTACGCCTGTTACCCCTGTTGGAAGAGGATAGGCCACCCACCAGCACTCTCCATCCAACCCTGTCCTGGACAATCCTTTCCAGTTGTTATTCATCTTTTTCATATCTGACTCTATTTCCCGACGTAATGTGTTCTTTAGCCTTCCTCTTTTCCGCTTCCCTTCATAATTCCAAGTTAGGGCTTGCCTCATGATGCAGTTTGATGATTCCCGTAATGTTTCTTATATACACTTACCACATTCTTTCCTGATTTCCTCTTCAGCTGGAAGCTGGTTTGTTCTCTCCCACAGAAGGCTGTCACTGATGGTATCCGGTCAATAAATGTTGAGGATCTTGCGTAGATAACAGTTTATAAATACTTGTACCTTATTGATGGTGGTTGTTGTAGTTCTCCAAGTTTCAGCTCTGTGTGGTAGAACTGTCTTGACGTTCTTATTGAAGATTGTGACTTTGATATAGGTTGAAAGTTGTTTTGACTTCCATATGTTCTTCAATTGTAGGAATGCGGTCCTTGCTTTACCAATCCTCGCTTTACGTCTGCATGTGATCCTCCTTGTTAATCGATGATGTTTCTCAAGTATGTGACGGATTCCACATCTTCCAGGGTTTCGCCATCAAGAGTGATTGGATTGCTGTTCTCCGTGTTGTATTGAAGGACCTTGGTTTTCCCCTTGTGTATGTTGAGACCTACTGATGCAGAGACTGCTGCTATGCTGGCTGTCTTTATCTGCATTTGTTCGTGTGTAAGTGATAGGAGGGCTAGGTCACCTGCAAAGTCCAAATAGTCTTATTGGTTCTGAGCTGTCCATCGTATGCCGTGGTTTCCCTCAGATGTCGAGGTCTTCATAATCCAGTCGACCACCAGAAGAAAGAGGAAGGGAGAGAGTAGACAGCCTTGTCTTACTCGGGTCCTTAGATAGAATGCATCTGTCAGCTGTCCTCCATGCACTACTTTGCACAGTAGTCCATAGTATGAGTTCCGGATAATATTGATAATCTTCTCAGAAACTCCGTAGTGTCGAAGGAGTTTCCATAACGTTCTCCTATCTACACTGTCAACTGCTTTTTCATGATCAATGAAGTTGATGTAGAGTGACGAGTTCCACTCAATTGATTGTTCGACGATGATCCGTAGTGTCGCAATTTGGTCTGTGCACGACCGGTCCTTATGGAATCCAGCTTGTTGATCTCGAAGTTGAGCGTCTACTATGTCTTTCATCCTGTTCAGTAACACTCTGTTAAAGACTTTTCCTAGTATTGACAGTAGTGTAATGCCTCTGTGGTTTTCACGCTTGCTCAGATCTCCTTGAATTTCAGTGGTTAGCCTGTCTTCTTTGTCATTGACTGGTCTCTCTGGATTACTATTTCTCCCTGCTAGTTTCTTCGTTGTATCATAAAGCTGTTTCATATTTCCTTCTCTTGGAGTGTTTTCCGCCATCGTTGCTAGTTCTTCCACGTATTTCTGCTTATCAGCTCTAATGCTCTTCTTCACTTGCTTATGTGTTTTTGTGCACTCAGCTTGTGCCTTGATTTTCTCTGCTCGTGTACGGCTGTTGTTAATTGCTGTCTTCTTGTTCTTCATTTCTTTGATCTTGTCCAGTGTTTCTATAGAGATCCATTCCTTATGATGATGCTTCTTGGGGCCCAAAATCTCTTGACACGTTGAAGTTAATGCTTCTTTGATACCTTTCCAGTTGTCCACCATGGTAGTTTCTTCTTCCTTCGGTAGATCCTGTAGGGCTTGGAACCTGTTGTTGAGAGCTATCTTGAATTCATTGAGTTTGTCAGTATCTCGAAGGAAGGCTGTATTGAATCTTTGTTGTGCTGTTTGTCCAGTTGTCCAGTTCTTCTTTAGCTTCAGTTTTAAATTGGCCACAACCAGGTGGTTGTCTGAAGCTATATCCGCTCCTATTCTGGTTCTCACATCTCCCATTGTCCTTCGGAACCTTTTATTGATGCAAATATGATCGATCTGGTTCTCTGTTGTGTGATCCGGTGAGATCCATGTAGCTTTGTGTATACGTTTGTGTGGAAGTATTGTGCCACCTATGACCAATTTATTGAATGTGCAAAGATTTGCAAATCATTCCCTATTTTTGTTTCTCTCTCCCAGTCCATGCAGTCCCATGATATCTTTATATCCGGTGTTGTCTATTGTGACTTTGACGCTTAGATCTCTCATCAGAATGGTGAGGTCCTTTCTTGGGCACTTCTCTATGATTGATTGCAGCCTTTCATAGAATTGATCTTTAATGCCGTCGTTGCTATCATTGGTGAGTGCATAACTTTGGATAATATTCATTGTGATCCCCTTCTTCTTTGTTTTGAATGATGCTTTGATGATTCTGGATCCATGAGATTCCCATCCTACAAGTGCATTTCGTGCTACTTTGAACAGCATTAGAGCAACTCTCCGAGTGTGTGGGGCATTTTCCTCTCCGTGACCGGAGTATAGAAGCATCTCTCCCGTATCTGGCCTTTTCTGTGCAGCTTGGGTCCAATGAGTTTCGCTGATTCCGAGTACTGCCAAGTTGTATCTCCTCATTTCCGTTGCTATTTGACTGGTCTTGCCGGTCTCCCACATTGTCCGGACATTCCATGTACCTATAAAAATTGTTTCTCTGGTTGTTAGAAGGGGCATCGGCTTCGTGGCTTCCAAAGGAACTTGGCTTTCACCATGTGGCGTCATAATTCTTCCTTCAACTCGGAGGACAGCGTTTAAATAGTTTAATTTGTTTAATCTAATTGGCGTTTCTTACCAGAACTTCTTTCTACTGGATGGGGTTGCCCACCCCATGCCCAACCCTCATCTTTTTTGTGAGCTTGGTTCTGTCAGTAACTTTAGGAGTGCTGCAGTCGGAGTTTGATTAGTTATACTTTATAATTAATTTTACTTAATAGTTAACTTTATCAAACATACTTTTAGGTCATAAGTTTAATCTTTTCACAATTATTTGGTAACTTATCACTTTATTTTTTCTCCGAAAATCCAATATAATAATATTGAAAATAAAACTTTGTCTAAGTGCATTGTTGTTGACATTTTTATTGGTTTATCAATGTCTGATAAGCTTAAATAAATTTTATTCAAGTTTACATATAAATGTGATAACCTCATAAAAGGCTAAATTATTCTTGTTGAATATCATGATTATTAGATTATCATTTGTCCGTTTAGTATTACTAATATGTTTTGTAGATTTTCTAATATGTATGCCAAATAATAAGACAAATTTTACCGGTAATGCAACAACAACAACTACTACTACACCTACCACAGGTACTACTAGAACTGTTACTACTACTGAGCGTGTAACAACTACAACTTCTGAACCAATTACAACTCATGATGTAATTACAACAACAAATGGGAAAACCACTGAAACGCCATTGTTAGTAACAACTATTGATTCTTTGAACAGTAACCTAACTAACTCATCAACAATTTTACTGAATTCTATAAACACTTCCTCGCTACATTTCAATAATTCATCCTTAAATGTAAGAGAAAAGAGTAATTTATCGAATGGGACAACAAATACTACTACAACTTTGCCAACAGCTACAAACAATGACATAAATGAAACAACTATTGGATATACCAGCACAACTTTATCACCATCAATGGAAAAACATGCTAATAACTTAAATAATACTACTAATTCTTCAACTATTTCATCAAAGTCTACAAAAATTCCATCAAATCATTCCACTAATTCATCTCGACGACATTCTATAAAAGGAAGAGTTATTTTAGCAACAACACGTGAACAAGGTAGTAGAGTATGGGGATTAACTGCAGCAAAAGCTGAATTAGCTTGTCATAGATTTATAACTAATCGTAGAATTACTTCACCATTAACCAATCGAACAAGTAATCGAAATCTTAAACCAACTGATTTATATCAAGGTCATTTATTATCTGTTACATCAAATGATGAGGTAAGTGTTGACTATCTTTTTAAATGCATGCCATATGAGCTTATGATAGCTTACAATCCACGAAGTTTTCATTGATTACTGTGCTTTATTTCAAATTAGCTTGAAAAGGAATAAAGAAATGTTGAACATGCTAGTCTCTTTATTCATTTTTCAAGTAGTTAGAAAGAGAATATAATTACAGAGGGAAATTCGGCGAGACTATAATTTATGGACGAACCAATCAGGTTTACGATAACGGGTTTCGGATTTTGGCGTAAAATTCACTCAATCCATTTGCCTAAATAGAGTTTTTTTCATGATTGCTGGTGTCAATTCGTGATAAAAACCCTAAATCTATTTCCTAACCTTAACATCAACTATAAGTCCTAATTCGAATTCATCACACTAATTTATAACCCTCATTTGGTACTACCTATCAGGCAGACACTGTCAAGGTCAGTCTAGCGTCGCTCAAAGGTCGTCCATAAATTATAGTCTCACTGGAAATTCTCTTCAAAATGAATTAAATTACATATCTGCTTATTATATTGTTTTGTATTAAGAACAGAATCTGCTTGGTGTGATATTTATAAAGTAAGTACAATTTTTGAACATGAAAAAGATAACACTTCTACAAATGATAAAGAAATGAAAGTCCAGCATATTTGAAACACAAATTTTTAGAACCATACAGCTGAAAAGTATTTACATATAAATTAATTAGATATGACTTCCGTTATAAGCTAAAACTAGGTGGAAAACCACTAAAAATCAGGAAGTTCAAAACTTCTCATAAGTGAAAATCTATGATATTACACCAGTAAGGATCTAGGAGGCTCAAGATTTAATATATGTAGACTGATAATGTAGAATACCATGAAGAAAAGTATATCATTATTTTTTATATGAGTAGTGATTAAAAACTTTTGATTTGAAGATGATGTATACTATGAACCAAATTCAATTAGACTAACATCTGGTAAGTGAATCCACTTTACTACGTCAAGTACTATGCCAAACAACTGTTTAATGCTCATTGGACTTCGGTGGTCACCTAGTTATAATTAGTTCAAAAAAAAAAACTGTTTCACTCGCTAAAACATTTATGATAAGTTGTAGCACTTATTGCAAGTATGTCCTATTTTTGTCGGTATTCTTAGTCACGTCCGACTTTCACTGTAAGCTTGATTGGTTGATATCCGTATTTTACACAATAGGATTTTAGGGAACTTTACTATTTTGAAGACGCTTCTTATCATACATCGAAAATTATCTGGAAAGAAAGAGTATGAATTTATCGACGTTTCTATATAACAATCCATTTTAGAATCAAACTGAAAATCAAACAATTCCGTAGTTGTATTACATATTCAGTTCGTAAACACTGAATTTCATCAGTGCAGACCAAAGTTTTTTTAATGGGAGTTTATAATGAATTACTTTGTCACAATCTAACCATACGTTTAAAATAATTTTTGTTATCACCAGAAGGCTGAGTAAAAAAGAAAAAAATTCTAAGATGAATAAGATTAATTTAACAGTAGTAATGGTTGGAAGAATGCTTATGAATAGAAATATATAAATTATGGTTTGAGGACATTACAAAAACTAATCAGTGTCTTGATTTTTAGGCGAAAATTATCCTCTTTGAAGTTTTGGGCAAAGTTTTGCTATCAAATAGCAGCAAGTAACGATTTGAATGGCACCAACAACTCAGAAGTACATATGTTCTTTTTTTACAATCAGTACTGGTTAATATTACCGCTTATCATAAATATATCTAACGTACATTTTTAATAACTGTTAGTCATATAATGTAACTGATTGTTCTATTTTTATGAGTTGTGACACATTTCATTTAATTAAGCATTATTTTATTAGGCATTCTTATTAGTTGTTTTGTTAAAAACTCATCTTAATTCGGAACCCATCAGTGTTGTTGTTCGATGTCAAAATCAGTTAGTTGGCATTATTTTCGTGACTAATTTGCTACCCTTCGTTTATAAGTAAACGTAAAAATGTGAAGTTTGGTTTGCTGATTAAAAACTGCAATCAGTAGCATTGATAATAATTTCATATGGTTACAAACTGACTGAAGTTTTGACCGATCAACTATTAGATTCTAAGCAAAGATGGATGGTGGCTAGTAGTGGAATCCAGGACGCTCGTTTCATCTTATTTGGGACTCGTCAGCTGGATGTACTTGCATCCCACAGTTGATATTCAATGGGAAGTTTCAAATAAACAATACAAAATAAATTTATTCGGTTCTAACTTCCAAAAAACACATCTCACAAAAAACTGGTTCTGTTATCAGTTTTGTCAATTCATCGTACGATAAACAATAAAACCGTCGAAACTCAGTTTTTGATGTAGATCTAATTTGGATGATTTAGGAATATATAGCACAAAGGATTTTCATCTTCACTCAACTGAAAAACTAACGATACCTACATTATACTGTTTTACAACGTTAGATTTTCGATAACTAGGCTCAAATCAATCACTGTGGTATTAGAGAGTGGTGTTGAAAAATATACCGAATAAATTGCTTGTGGAAGATACACTAAGAAAAAAGCTATTGATCAAATAGCAATTTGTATCGAAAGTCTAACACATGTCTTATTGAGTTAAAAAAGAAATGTATTTTTGGTCTATACTTCCAGGTTTTCCACGGTGGTCTAGCTCTAATTGACTCATGAATTCAACTACTAAAATTACTACAATCTCCGTAATATCCCCTTCTGATAATAATCCTCATGTGCTCCTAGTGACCAATGGAGTTCAACCGAGTCTGTTGTGAGATAGTAAATCACTGATGATAATGGTGGACGGTAGCACCATTTCGTGGATTAGTTGAAGTTAGACACTAACACCGTTGGACGCCGGCTCAGTGGTCTAATGGTTGAGTGCTTGCGCACGAGACCGATAGGTATTGGGTTCAATTATTGTGAGGTGGGGTCGTGGATGCGCACTGCTGAGGAGTCCCTTGCTAGGATGAAACGGCCATCTAGTGCTTCTAGGTTTTCCATGGTGGTCTAGCTTCAATTGACTCATGATCTCAACTATTGAAATTAATTATATTATCTCTAATGTATTATTTGTGATGTTCACTTTTAGGATAATTTACATCACAAACTGATTCTACATTAATCACTATCGAAATAAACTATGAATGATTAAAGAAGTGTTTTTTTTCGAAACTTAATCATTTTGTGCTTACGACTCATCCGGAGATAAAATAAAAAAAATTGTTGAAGTAGCCAAAACATTTGTTTTTCAACCGGTTTATTAGAGAATTAGTTGGCCACCTCATTCAAATTATACAGAGTAGTATTTTTCCTCATTACATTTTTATCTGTAAAAAAGATATCAAATATACTTTGGTATTAGAAAATATAATGATTTTACTACAGGTGAATACCATACTCTGGATTTGGCAATAATTATCCATGCTCTGTCTAGATTCCTTACACTAGAATATATTTACTGAATAGTTTTAATCATTGATAATATATTTTTTTAAAACCCAGATATAATGTAGGTACATCTGAGAAAAAATATTGAAAGTGAACTAGGTAGTGGCACAAGTATTTATACATGTAGATAGGATGTAAATAAATTTATGTTGTTAACATAGAAGGAAAATTGATTTCATGGAACTTCTCAATGGTGAATGTGTTCAACAATTACATCATTATCGTACTTGATTTGTTAAAATCAATGTTTTACTATTTTAACAACATTATTTTAAATGTTTTTCAAGTGATGACTAAGATATTTATTAAACTGAATGAAAACCTATTTCAAACTCATTATTGATGTAGATATTATTGTGACATTTTTTTTCAACTCTTTAATACACTATAAGAACTAGACTAGATTTACTAATTTTAAAGATGAATTCGTCAGGAAAAAGAGAACTCTAAGCCAGTCTCTTTTATTTTATATCTCAATGGATATATTCCGTTTACCTATCAACTTGACAAACAGAATGTGTATTAATATCAGAAGGGATTTTTGTGGATATTATAGTAATTTTAATAATTGAGATCATGAGTCATTTGAAGCTAGACCACCATGGGAAACCTGCAAACACTGGACGGCCGTTTCATTCTACCAGAGGACTTCTCGGCAGTGCGCATCCACGATCCTGACTCACGAGATTCGAACCCAAGACCTATCGGTCTCGTGCGCAAGCACTCAACCATTAGACTACTAAGCCGGCATCCAATGATATTAATGTCTAACTTCAATCAATCCATAAAATGGTGCTACCAACCACAATTGTCATCAGTGATTCACTATCTCACAACAGACCCGGTTGAACTCCACTGATCACTGCTTCTCACTAGAACTCCATGAAATACCTCTTGAAGCCAGTTACTAGTGAGTATATATTGATTAATATCAGAAGGTGATATTCATTTTTCATCTTTTTTATAGTTGAACTGATCATCATTATATATTAGTAAATAAATCAAACTATCAATGATAATACTTTCATTACAAATTTGATAAAGCTGTTACATTTCATCTAGCATAATAATATGCACTCATTTGTTATTTTTTAGGTATTATAACTTATTTAATATTCTTTTCTAATGTAATAAATAGGAAATATTGAATGTTTTACAATAAAAGTGTATATCATATTATATGATGTAATAAATATTCAATCTAATGTTAATATTCATGCACTTTTATTCATTAATGTTATACGTCACAATATTCACGTTTAAATAGTATTCTTTATATATAAATAAATGATATGCACTGGCTAGACAATATTTAACCTCAGTACAAAGATACAAAAAAAATAATAAAGTAGTTCAATGTCTCTATGTAATTTGATTAGTTTACAATGTATTAAATAATGATGAATAAATTGTTTATGTAATTGTGAATTGTCGAAATAATTAAATTTATATTTAGAATAGATTATTTATTATAATATAGTTATTAAAAATTAATCATTATTTCATTTAGATTTTTCTTATAACTTATCACTTCCTATCTTGTTTAAGTAACACATATACATAATAAAATAAACATTGTTGGATGATAGTTCAGTGGTCTAGAGGTTAAATGTTCGTGCGTGAGGCCAGAGGTCCTCAGTTTGAGTCCCGTGTGCAAAATCGTGGATGCGTATACTAAGAAGGAACGTACGTCCAGTGCTTTCAGGTTTTTAATGGTGGTCTAGCTTAGATCAAATTGTGAATTCCACGGTTAAAATACAACAATCTCCACAAATCCCCATACTGATAATGTGTATAAATTAAATGATAAAATAACACTATGAACAAAATGAGTGTTTTGGTTTTATTAAACCTTGGTCATAATTAAATTTTATTGACATTTTTCTTTGTTGTGCGAATTGTTATCAGCATGTTTGCCTACAATTTAGTAGTCATATGGACATTTACGCTATTAAGCGTGTTCTGTAAACATGATAAAATAAAAAATATTACACAATCGAATGCATGAGGTGACCAATCAAATTAAAGTAAACATGTAACCATACTATATTGTACTCTTTCATTTAAATATTTAATACGATTGCAATGTACTGAGTTATGTTATCTAGTATCCTGGTACTAATTCAGTAAGAAACTGAATCTAGTGTTTTACCTGAAGTAAATTTAATAACCTATGATTTATGTGGAAAGAAAGAGACAGTAACCGTAAAAGAACATGAGGCATTTACTTTAAGGGCTGTTTTATTTCAAGTAATTGAATATCCTTCACTGTGAGAATGAGTGGAAATTCTCTGAAGATCAGTACAGAACCTCATAAATGTCAGTTTTACAATTCTTAAACTGAAAATCACTAAAGATATCATTTAAATGAAAAGGAATTTCTTCGTTCATTTTGTTCTTTTTGCCAAGTGTCAAGACGGGAATTTTCACTGTATCATCTCTTGAATAAATTTCTTTCATAAAGACTAATTTAAAAGAAAATAATTGTCAATCATACTAACTATTATAGCAGTGGGAAACTATTGATCTTTTTATTTGGGAATAACACTACATTGTTACATTAAAATAAGGGTAGGGAGTAATTATTTCACCTTACAGAGATCCCCATACTAAAATCATCGTCCTTATTAAAGAGTTAAGGCAATTTTCCTAATTTATGAGTAACAGCAAATCAATACCGAGGAAAGCTCTTCGTCAATAACTCGCCCTCGATTTTCTAAAAGTGGACATTTTATCCAGTGACACTGATCAGTCATAATTTCTTATCGCAGTTAAGTGAACGCTCTGGAAACACCCTTTTGTTTTGGGTTGGAAAAGTATTAAAATTTACCGACTGTACTTTAGGTGTAAATTATGCATATCAGATATTATTACCTTAAACTATTTTCACTATACTCATGATATAAGCGCTTTATGGAATATCATTACTGTTAGTAATTCTTTTTAATTCATTTTATCGATTTAAAATATAAATTATTTAATCGTAAAACTATTTTTTTAAGGAAAAATTCATTAGAGCGAAGAATTATTACTTTTTAGTTAGGTATCCACTAAGTTTCCATACTGAATTATGTGTTTTATAATAATAATGTAATCAATACAAATCAAGTGTTTTTTTCTCGTAATTTTCAGATTATACACTTAGTAAACCTCATGGGTACAGTACCAGTTGGATCATATTGGACAGGGGGTAAATTAATGAGATCAAGACACACTGGTGTGGATGGTGAAAATGCTACTAAGTGGAAAGTGATGTTAAACTGGTCGGATGGTCGAACTGCTCCTGCAAAAATATTGGGTATAACTGATGACGATGCAAATAATCTTGTTGAGGGTATGACTTATTGTCTGTCATTAGACATTGCACGACTTACATGGCAAGCTCGTGATTGTGAACATCGTTTGCCTTACGCATGCTTGATTACTAGGCGAAATGTTCTAATTCAAACTACCACTAATAATTCATCAATAGCAGTTAAGACACCACAGGAAATAAATAGTCCACAAATTTCTGCTAATCAAAGTCACGCTATTTCGAAACGTCGTGAAACGGTACTCGAAAATTCTACTACAGTTGTTAACACTTCAGTAAATACCAATCATACAGAGAACAGTCAAACAATTTTACCTTTACTGGAGTCCATCGAATCTACTCCAGCAAGCATAACCATAGCACCAAATAATACAGAGAATTCAACTCTTGGGATAAATTTTAACGTATCATCTGAGATTCAGAATACTTTACAAGTGGATACCACAACCCCATCTAGTTTACCTCCTATAGTAACTGAGAAGAATAACAATTTTAACCAGAATGGAAAAACCGTTTCCGAGTCAACGATCCAAGTAAATGAGCAGCTTGTACAATTTACAGAACCCGCCTCTGAAACTAATCAAACTTTCAGTGTTCCTCCTCTTCCTAAAGCTCAGGTATCCGGGGATGATAATGGTAACGATGACGATGATGATGATGATGATGATGACGACGACGATGGTGATGATGATAATGATTTTAATAGCAGTGGTCAAAATAACAATAACAGCCCAGATCCTTTAGGTCTGACAGAATTAAAATCGATATTGAACAACATTGAACATTTACACATGACAACACATTCACCTCCGCCAAAAACTACTACTACTACTACTCCCACAACTATCAGTACAACAACAACAACAACAACTACTACTACTACCAGTCCCACCACTATTATTACCACCCCTGCTACTACTACTATTACTACTGCTAATACTACTCCCACCACTACTACTACTGTTACTGATAATGCTTCTACCAGTACTACTGCTACTCCTACCAATACTCCAACTGTTAATACTATTCCTACCACTACTCTTACTACTACTGCTACTAACGCCCCTACTACCACTACGTTTACTACTGCTACCACTCTCACTAATACTTCTGATATTACTTCCACAACAACTACTAATTCCACCACTCCTATCACTATTACTACTGTTGTTGATAATGCTTCTACCAGTACTACTGCTACTCCTACCAATACTCCAACTGTTAATACTATTCCTACCACTACTCTTACTACTACTGCTACTAACGCCCCTACTACCACTACGTTTACTACTGCTACCACTCTCACTAATACTTCTGATATTACTTCCACAACAACTACTAATTCCACCACTCCTATCACTATTACTACTGTTGTTGATAATGCTTCTACCAGTACTACTGCTACTCCTACCATTACTCCAACTGTTAATACTATTCCTACCACTACTCTTACTACTACTGCTACTAACGCCCCTACTACCACTACGTTTACTACTGCTACCACTCTCACTAATACTTCTGATATTACTTCCACAACAACTACTAATTCCACCACTCCTATCACTATTACTACTGTTGTTGATAATGCTTCTACCAGTACTACTGCTACTCCTACCATTACTCCAACTGTTAATACTACTCCTACCACTACTATCACTACTACTACCACCCCTTCCCCCTCTACTATTACTACTGCTACTACAACCACTACTACTACTACTACTACTAATAATAATAATAATAATAATATTACTATTCCTGCTAATACTACTGCAAGCACAACTACTACTACCATTACTGCTGAAAGCACTACTAGTACTCCTAAAATCAATGAAGAAACATCTACAGAAAACACTAGAGATGTCAAAATGTCAAGTGGAACAACATATGCACCAAATATCTCAGATTATATGTCGCTAAAGTTGTCTGTTTTGTTAAATAATTCTTCTGAAGAAATGACAACCTCTACAACTCCTGAAATAAACTCACAGGAATCGACTGCGGTAATGATGCAAGGAAATAACGGATCAGAATCTCTGATGACAACAGTACCCAATTCGTCAGTAAGTGTTGAAACAGCATCCACGCCACTAATCAAATCTGAAGAAGTAACAATATCCACATCCGAGTCGCCAGAAGCGGATATCTCATCTGAGTTAACGATACCAGTGTCATTCCAGTCAATGGCAACAACTGAGTCGACGATGCCTTCAGGATCCTCACCAACAGAGACATCTACGTCACCAACCACGAAGATTCGGAGTTCATTACCGATGTCAACAAACGAACCATCCCTATCAACAACATCTATGGAGCTTCAATCACAAGGGACATCTGAAACCATAACATCAACGACGTCCCAATCAAATACGTCGGCAGAGCCAACTACAACTCTGGAATCAGAGTCAACAGAAAATAAATTTGTATCTAATACAACGACCTCATCTGTATTAATAACGGCAACAGAGTCTACGGTTATGAAAACCACTCAGTCTGAAACAGAAACTAGTCAACAGAATGAATGAAAGTAATTTATTGATTGAATTATTTTACATAATTGAGTAACTATTTAAATGAGTTCAGTTGTAATACTAAGTTACGAAATTTTCAATATTGTATTACAGCTATTTTTCTTATATTCAAAGATAAATGATGTTCTCATAATATTGTTTTCCTTAAACAAAACGTTAATTTACAATATATTTTGTAATTCATTACACGAAGATCCTTATAGTTTACAGAAGCAGAATTCAGGCATAAAATATTTGTAATCGTAGAAGTTAAAAATCGTTGAGTTTTTTTGGTTTGTTGACGCCTTCTATACTCATAGTAGGTAATATTATCTTTACGAACAATTATATTGTTTCATATAATCAGTCAGTTTGCTAAAAATTGTTAACCAGTAAAATATTATCAAAAATAAATTAATCCATTTATCAAATATCGAGTTATTGAACTCAGTTATACCAATTTTTAATGCCCTGTATAGTACATTTCAATCAATATTTAAAACAAGAACTGGATCCTGTAAATGCAGTCAGCTGAAAATACAAATTAAACTATCAAATTAATATGAGTTAAGTTTTTGACTTTAGATTTTGATTAGCGTCATTACGCAGTATAAGTAGTATTATAGAGTACTATATTCTGTTAGACTAATCATTTTCCCATTGTGATCTTAGCTTGGTTAAAATGTCTTTTAAGTGTTGAGGTCTTGCTAAAAAAAAAATTCTTTGCAATCGAACCCTAATTATCATCTTATTATATTCATGCAGCTAAATAAAGCATAAGATAATGAGAACTATCTTGTTTCTTATCAATTCGCGCTTTTATATCTTATATGATCTTAGTAAACTAATGTTCATATCAGTTTCAAACTTGTGCACCAAATGACTATCTAACATATTTCGTATTTTCCAGTAATTACTACTAGAAATATCATACTCAAAATGTATTATGACGTTGAAGGAAACTGTACACCACCAATTTACACAAGTGGTCGTTCTATTATGGTTATTAAAAAGGGTTAAGGTATATCACATCAGAACAAGAACATTAAATTTAATTTGAATTTTAATAATCTGACACCTCTGCAAGTCGAAAAATTATTGGCACATGCACACATTCACATAAAATAAACAGATTTGAAAACGTATGTCATTCACAAAACACTTAATACAAAATATTAACATACACAGTTCTGTCACATGATACCTTGGTAAGGAAATCCGGAGTTAATTTCATTCAATTCATTCTTACATTTTATAATAATTACTTCAAAATATAGTCTGTACAGAGTAAGATAGAATAACTTACCTGGGATCATACAATGGAGTAAGAAAGACTTTAAGAGGTTGTGAGCCTAAGCTGGTTAAGATAGCTTATTTAATGAGAACCAGATAAACTATTGAACAATCATACCAAAACTAGATCGTTGAAATTAGTAATATGACAAGAAATCTTAAATTCACTGTTGTTTAGTGACATAAATATCGTGATCCAATAGGATTTGGCGATGATGATACCATGCTTTTGAAACGTTGTCCTCTAGTGATGTGCATTAGCCTGACAGAAGATTAATATAAAAAATGGTGATGGTCTGAATGGATGATGCATTCGTTCTTCATGTTATCAACATATTACTGAGTCAGGACTCGATGACCTAGATTTTTAACTCAAATGCAGTCCAAACTATTCTCTTATATGCTTAGAACAATATAAACAGCACTAATTTATCGACTGTCAATGAAATTAAGGTTAGTATAACACAAATCCAATAAACACGGTAAATATCACTACGTTGTAATTATTTTACAGATAGGTCTGGTTTACTATCATGAATACACTTCCTAAGCAATCCCACAGCCAAAAGACTGTCACAAATGCATAAAGATTAGAATAGACAAAAGAATCAATTATTTTACTTATTTTCATTGGGAATATTTTTGCAAAGTAGACAAAATAATCATAATCTGTAAATGTTTGCTTACTATCAGGTAACTCAGGTTTATTATTTGCACTTATAACTACAATCAATTGACTCACGTTTATTTATTTACACCAAGTGTACACTCAAGAAGACAAATAGACTCAATAAATGTAACAAATAATGAATTGCCAGTTCATTGTTCGAAGAATACAACATTAAATGAATAAATCTATGATATAATTTAAATAAAGTAAAAGAAAATAGGTCATTTCAAAATGAGTACACCATCGTGTTTTGGACTTGATTTCCTTTTCAACCATCAGAATACTAGCTACAAAATAATGATTGGTGATAGGCAGTTCTGTTTTGACAATTGGTTGTCCCTAAAACAGCTGCTTCACAGGCTTAAACTGGTCAGTGTTTGTGGATATGTTTGTCTTTTGCAGAGCTCACTATTATTATGGTCATGCCGGGATACTATCCATTATAATCAAGATAGATAATTACAATTTAGTCATACAAAGAGGTTACACGGTAATTGTCAGTAACTCATGCATGGTGGTGGTTGTAAGTAGTCGATAGGAAATCATGGACCTAGATTCCGTTCAATTTGGCACAGGCCAGCAAGCTTAATGTTAACGTCTCTGACTTTGAAGCTGCGTAACACACTATCGGTTTCACCATAGGGTATCACTTTCTTCAAGATTACAGGTAGACTTTTCTGACAAATGCAAAATGGCACGCAACTTAGGCCCAGGGTTCCCCGTCAACTACTTACAACCACCTTATGTCTCAAAATAGTACACATGATGTCGATTCACTTGGACTAGTGGCCATATCACAATAACTAATAGCTTGTTCGTCCAAATTCCATAGACTTTTGGGGCAAAGTGCATTTCTTAACAAATCCATGGACCTAATTTGGATCTTTTCAAGTTATTTTGTATTTAACAAGTCTCAATCACCTTTCAGTAAAATGTTGGGTGTATAAATCCGATTTTGTTAACAAAAGCCAATGGAAAGATGGTACCTATTTTGATGTCTGATAATTTCAATGTTAGTCAACCAGTTATAGAGTGCAATTCATGAAACATATTTCAAACATATGGTTTCACAAAAGCCAAACGACATTTATTTTTTAATATAAAGTTATGTAGAGAAATTTACTCATAATTCATGTGGCTGTTGTATATAACCGGATAAGGCCCATTTCACTAGTTACTATATAACTAAATCAACACACGAATTCATTGATTTCGTGGATTCTCCTCAGGTGCTTAAAGCCTAAAACCATAGTACTAATCATTAAAACGAAACCAGTACACATACTTTATATCAGAAACATCTAGAATAAACTGAGTTGAAATGTAAGAATCAAATAATATACGTAATACCTCACGAAAATAATGTCACCAGGGTAAGACGAGATATATAACTTTCTTTTTGGATACATTAATTCGGTCTAAATCTTTTTATTGCGATAGCATCAACAAGGTGTAACAGTTTGGAGTTTATTTGTTTGTTGATGATTCTGGAAGATTCCTCAACTTTATCATCATGTCTATGACGAGTAACTGCACTACTGAAAACTTTGCCGTTTAGTCTCAATTTCATGGAATATGTTAGACGATACGGACACAAACCCAATGTTGTTCCGATGTATGTACTTTGGCATGTACATGTCAACTAGTAAACGCAATAGGGGGGTAACATAAGGCGAATATTTGTCCACATTTGACTATTGAAATGAACATTTAGTTTTGTACAGCGACACTGAATCGGTCACTGGATACGTTCTTTTTAGTATCGCCTTTGGTATAAAATCAATCCTTTCAGCTATTTCACCACCTTTGAAACCAAGTGTTAAGAAGACAAGCTTTTCCTAAACCTTGATATAATCCACTTCATTTTTCCTGGTATTTGCTTATGGATTTTTTCGAATAACCGTTCTCACGTGAGCAACATTCTGCTATGGCTATTTCAACCTAAATTCTAACTTCAGAGCATAATCTGTTTACACGGTTGAATAGCGTTCTTACCAAGGCTCTTTTGTAGCTTATCGGACAGAAGTTATAGAAGTTGAAGTATAGCCCTCTCCAGATGTCCTTTTGATACATATATTTTTCTAATTGGCCGTTTGGATTGCGTATAGTACTAAGATCTAGAAAACGAAACATGATATCATATTCACATCTCATTGTAAATCCAATGTTAAGAAATGCTGTTGAAAAGTTCCAGTATACTAGAAGCGTGATGAGAATAATTACATGCAACAAATTTATCATCCACATGCCTGACATAAAACGGTATGTCACTGATTGATGATTTCATAACTGTTTGTTATACATCCGACAAAGGGATATCTGCCAAGATTGAACCAGAGGACTGCCCATGGCCAGTCCATCAATTTGATGGTACAGGATATCGTTGTTTTGAAATAGAACATTTAGTACACCTCAGTAGTTGCTTGAAGTCGTCTTTCGGTAAGGGAAGTAGTTCAGCATGTTAACATATAATTTGTATGGTTTGTATGGTAAATAGTGATAATATATCAAATAAAATCATGAATTTGTAGCGTGGTGTCGAGTCGCGATTGACTATGAACACCGCTACAAGAAGACTACGTGCCAGTTAACCAATAAGATCCTCGTAGGTCAATATCAGAAGGCAGATGATGGCGTAGTCGAGATGTATTTGCTGGCGATCGCGTGGTATCGAAAGAATACCGAGATCGTGCCAAAGGAGTACAAGCGTGGTTACTGAGCGTAACCGAATTCGTAAAAGTTCAAAGTCAACGGGAGAGTAAGTAAGTGTAATGGCTGTCATTTGCACAGTTAAACAAACGAGCACAGTAAAACAATCACTGGTACAATTGGTTATAATAATAATTGTTTCCATCGAACCAATCGCGTTCTGTTGATAAAAGTAGGTCACTACAAATTCATTAAGGATGTTCACATTTCCTGGCATCTGAGTAAATTGAAAGGTGCCTTTCAAACTACGGACGTTTAACTTTAGGCCAATAGGTTCCCTAACCACTTAGCGAGTTTATTACATGGAAAATTGATCATCGATATGATAGGTCAAGTTTGTGTAATTTTGGTTGTTAATACAAATAAGGTAATTTGCATACCCGAGGCTTCAGTTCATTATGTTTGATTATTAATTAAATTTCTCTTCAAAGATCTCTAAAATTGTTTGTTACGTCTTTTTGTTGCTTCAGACATCCTTTTTCGATCAGTCAACTAGGATCCCAACGCAAACATCTAGAATCGTCTTAACTTTGTTAACATAGTTTTTTTCATCCACCAGAGCTATTGTGATGTTTGAGAATAGCGATATTTTCATTAAGTTTTTCAAGGTTATTTGATACGCTTCAGATAAAATTTTCAACTGTGGGATTTGACATGTCATGTATTGATTAGTAATATCAACGAATCAAGTTTTAAACCAATTTTGTTTTTCTCCATGTTATTTTCAGTTCCGACAACTGTTGATTAAAGTTCTCAAACTGGGTTCCTGTAGCAATTGTCAGTGTATTTTCTTGGAATATGAAAGCGCGATATTCTCAATTTGACTCAAGTTAATGCTTGACAAGTTGCCAAGAAATCTTCCAGGATACCTTTAAATAATTGTTTTTTAATAAGGGTTTTCGATAAACTCTTCCCAAATTTCCTGCATACCTTCTCCTGGACTTCTTGCAGGAAACTGATCAGCTTAAGTATACATATGATATTTAGTTCCTCTAAAGAAATCTCTGTACTTAGCTTAGAAAACAGATCTTTTTATGAGTTCAGTTTGCGGTTTGACTACACGTTGAAGAATTTTCGGTAGAGGCAACTCACATAGGTGGATAGTTTTCAGAAATTGACCGGGACAGCAGAAGGAAGTTAAAGACTGTTCGGAAAACCTTGTTCTCTTAACTTCTCTGGCTAATCTGCATTCAGTGACTTGAATGATTGAGGCGAAATCATGAACTCACGTTATTCTGATACAATATTTCTTTCTTTATTGGAGTATGTAAATAGGGAAAGTTATACGAAATCAATCGACACTTAAGTGCTATTCGAGTTATTATGGTCGATTCATCATATTCCGAAGATAAACTAATTTTGCACATATTTTACCGTCTGTAAATAAATTCTAGATTACAAGCAGCTATTCCTTGTCTAGTGTGACTTTTAGTCACCCCTCATTTGGACGGGGATTTTAAATCCACAAAAACAATAGAAAAAACTAGTTGAAAGACTATGTATGATTTTCGTTTAATAATTACACTACTGGTGTTTCCTATCCATTTGGCTTTTAATGAATTCAGTGTAAATTTCGCTCATTATAAAACTAATTTTTTACTAATCAACTCATTATGATTCTTTATTTACTTGACTTTATTCAGTATAATATTCAATTGTAATAATTCTGAGATTTTGTATTCAGGTAAAAGCCTATCAGTTTATTACTGTAACTAATAATCACTCGATGTAGTCTGAATGTAACGTGAAATTCTTCGTCGATTTTACCAAGGAAATCTTCATCAGCTGATAGGTTCTGGAGAGGTCAAGGCTAAGAGAAGGAATCTTTCGTATCCTCGTTAGATGTGTTGTCAGAGTTGGCGCTGTTGCAGCTAATTATAACACACAAATCACCCCATTTCCATTATCAATGCAAAGACTACTTTGTCAATCTACATTTAAATTGGATCTACCAATCAACATGTTTTGATTCATTTAGGAAGTGTTTTACGAGCATATACTAATTAATCAGACTTCCTAGATCCACTGGTACTTCCTAACATTGATTAATTGTTTTAACTAACTCACTAGCCAGTCACTTGCATATAAGCCAAACTAAGCGTATGAGGACTAATGGTACTAGCCGATTGCCTAAACTGAAGTAGGTGAGACGGCCACTAAGCCACCGCTACTACTACGGTTCGTTATAATTACCATTGGTATTTTTTTACAGCAGGATACTTGTTTCATAGTAGACAAGGTGCTCAACGAATCACTTGTTAAAGATACCCAAACATTTCATCTTTTTATTTCACTAATCCCTTTTGGATTTAGTTTTTGAGTACAGCTGATATTCTCTTTTTTTCCCTTACATGTTTTTCATCTTACTAATGTCTAAATTCTACGCTAATGTGACAACTTAAACGGATTCACATTCACACCAAGAGTATTATGATATCTAAAACTAACAGACAAACTTATCAAGTTACATTAATAGAGATTCATTGAAGTAAAACATACATTTAACTTTCAAATAATCATGAATAAAAATTTGTTTGTAAAGTATAAACAAACATATAGTTTACTACATTTATATTTTAATGACAATATAAATGATGAGTAAAATTCATTGTATTATTATACTATTAAAGTAATGAACAAATATTTTTCATTTTTTATCATAGATAATAACAATGAAAATATTTCATCACTAATTTGTACATTTGAAAAAAAAAAAACACGTGCAGAAAATAGATTGAATGTACGTTGATTGTATTGTATTCAAACATGATTTTTAATATTGCATAGAATAGATGATGTAAACAAAATAAAGATCATATAAATAGAACCAATTTTTTTGTTTTTTTTAAATGCCATTTAAAAAAAAGTGAATTCAATAACGAAATACATCTTCAAAATAATTATAATGAAAACACATGAACAATTAAATGTACATAAAATGAAAGGATATATTTCAAAATGGCTGATATACAATAGTCAGTCATGTAAATAATACATATATGCTTTACTCTACTAATGACAATAATAATGATAATAATAGTAATAGTAATAATAATTATTATGTTTAGATACAACTAAAACATTGCACAAAATAATTCATACAATGTTATGAACAGAATATTTATTGTAATTACTTAGCTGGTACATCATAAAAGAACCATGCAAGGGGATAACGAATCATAAATGCGAAACAAGAACAAAGTATCTGAAAAAAAAGAGAGAATATGAATTAATTGATTATTTTCCTTGAAGTGATTTTGGAAGAGAATGAGATAAATTGAATAATTGATACAAAAAATCAGAAACAATTAAATAATGATGCTTAGTTAAGTCAGTCAGCTACAACGTAGGATCAGGTACATGTGTATCGGTATAAGTTGCCATATTTCATTAGCACAACAAGATGAACACCGTAAACCCTTAATCTTTACAGCATTAAGCCAGCATCTAGTGGTGAACATCAATCAATTTACGATATTGCACAATCATCATACATCGCCTGTGGTGAATAATTGGCTAACACAAGACATGAAGGGTAGTGGATAAACAACGCTAAACAGTCCCATAGTAGAATGAAACGGTAGTCTAGTGCTTCCAGGTTTTTGATGATAGTCTGGCTAAGATCAATTCGCAATTTTAACCATGAAGATCACATATATTTGTTATGTAACGAAAGGGAGTTTATGGAATCATGGGTGCATTATTATAATTAAAAAAACATTTCTACCCAAAGTGCAATAAATGTGCATTTTGTATAGATTTATATGTAACACAATAAGAAATCAAAAAGATATCCACTCACAAATTTTGTTAATTAAACATATCTTTAACTAGTTTTATTTTGAGTCATGAACAAGGTTTTGTTCGCATAAAATAAGTGTCGCTCAAATCAAAAGTTACATTACTATGTTATCAATAACAGGTAGACAGAATTTTTTGTTTCTTAATCTTATGAAACAGTCAGTCAATAACAACGTAGAACTTCGTACGTACGTACATAAATACATCAGTTCACGTTGCCATACCACATTAGCACAGAGATGCAGTTGTCAATTCAAATCCAGTAGTGGTGGAGGCAATAAGAGTATAAGCAGTAATCGGAAACATTAGGGTTTGAAGATGTTATTCAAAGAGTATAATCCAGTGAAATAAATTTAGAAAGAGGAAAAAAAGGACATGAAGAAGTTGGAAGATAAGAATTTTGGAGAACATAAAAAGTGGATGCACCTGCGCCATTTCAAACGATTTTGAGTCAGGTCATTCAGGGTCTCTAACCATCAGTTGCTATTATCTCGTGCATCCCAACCAGGTAGTCTACACCTACTAACATCGCTCAGTCCACTTGTCAGTGGATTGGGCATACGTAACACGTGTCCTAGTCATCTCAACTGACGAAGTTTCACTACTTCATCAATTGGTTTGGCATCCTTACCTAGTACTCGTTTCCTAACAACTACATTACTTACTCAATGGTCCCAGGATATACGAGCAATGTTTCTAAGACACCTATGATCGAATACCAGTAACATCCTCTACTCTTACCGGCCATGTTTCGCAGCTATAAAGCAGGACGGAACGAACCGCTGAGCAGTAAACACGTCCTTTGGTTAGTAGACGGATATCTCACACAGACCGTAAATGACTGACTGATCATAAATGACGTAACTTGGTAAAAGCTAGTCGAACCTTCTGTATCCGTGCTGAGATTTCGTCACCCCGGACTACAAAGGCTGATAAGACTCCCAAGATAAGTGAAGCGGTCGACACGCTCAATTACTTCACTCCCTATCATTAGTTCAGATGCCGATGCAATCTTATGAAACAGAGTAGTACTGTTTACTAAAAAGACACCATCTTATATATTTAAGTTGTAAAGCATACATAAAAAATAAAACCTGACAGTCTCTAGTGCATGAAACTGATTCACACTTTAGAGAAATTATAAAATTTTGATAAAGATTCTAATAAATTATTTCCATCTTAAGGCTAAACACTACTACTCGGAAGCTACTCTACTCTCCTTTCTTTAGGGATTATAATGGTTTTAAAAGTTATAAACAGAAATATGGGATATCTAGGACTAGTAATAATGACTGGATATGAAGATACTGGATTACGTAACAAAGTTTGACCATATTACTCGAAAGCTCTTTGTCCTAAACATTAGAAAGCATGTTGATATCAAACTAGATGTTTAACTGCTATTCGTGAATGACTGACAATACCCATTCCAATGCACCCATTTGCAAAGGAAAGCTATCAGTATAAAATGTTATGAAAACGATATCTACCTGTTGTTTTTTGAAAAGTAGTCAATTTTAAGGAGTTATTATTCTTGGGACTAATTACGCTTAAAAATGAACCAAAGGGGTCACGTCAACCAAGTTAAATGGTCAGACTAGCAAATAATATTAAATTTACAGTTATAAACCACCTGTCGTACCAACAAATGATTAAACAATTTAAAATGAGGTTATAGTGTAAACCTTGCTACTAAAGCTCTACAGAGGAACGCCCTCACTGAAGAAAACGAACTAATAGTATGGAATAAATTTGATGTGGATGCTAACAGGTTATCTAACATATCAATTCTAACCTGTCGGTTATTCAGTAGTTTGGAGAGAAATGACGTTTTAACTCTATTAAGGTACAAATTTAATGGGAAACTTACTTGGAGTAGCAAAAGAGTATTGGTGGTCTGTTGTTCATTTCTGGGTCCCAAAACACGTAGCATCATATTTATGACAGTAAGGTTGTCTACTTCAACAATTTCTTCAGTAGGTAGCTTGGTTTGAACTGGGCTTCTACTCCTAGCTCTTTGTCTTTCCGATGTTTGTTCTTCATCAGAAGACATATTTTCATGAGATGGTTGTGAAACGATCATTCCCGTCCTGGGTGATGTTGGAATATTCGGAATACAATCCGGGCAAAGTTTGCATTCAATTATGCCCACGTACGAAAACACAGTCAAAACAAACTGACCAGGACGTGATAAAGACTTTGGATGAAAACGAACACGACTGGGGTGTAATAGACCATCTGCTGGATCGTATCTAGAAGAAATAAACATCAAAATATAGGATATCACATTAATAGTATATCATGCAAATGAGACTAATATCACCGGAAAACTTAAGAGAGTAATTAAAAATAGGTTTCTTTGTTGTGTACTTTTACATTAATGGCTGTAGCTGCCAGGTGGATGTTCTGAAGCTCATGTTATACATTGTTCTTATCAAACGACCGGAAATTATCAAGAAATTCGTACACAACACCGCCGCGAGAGGGCAGTGAGTATGACTTCCCTGTGAGTGGCTGTATACGCATGGCCCTGTGAAATCATTTCGAGAGGGACAGTTCATTCTCCCCGCCCTCAGCCGTATCACGGCATTTGGGGGAAGTGTTACAGCAACAATCGAAAATAAACCTTGAATTTCTTGCAACCATTCACTAGTAAATAATAAAATGCTGCAACAAATATAATTTATGCGACTATCAGAGTTATAATCCAGGGGATTATACTAATGTCAGTCAGTCATTAAAACCTCATGATATGGACTAAATTTGCAACAGTCCAAGCTGCAATGCTAGATCAGTAAAGTAAGCATCTACACAAACAGAAAGGATCCTGTTAAGCTGATAGAACTAAATGACATCGAAACGATATTATAGGATCTACAAGGATAGGATGTCAAAATGTGAAGAACATATGGAATTGATTTCAAAACAAGATGATGATAACAAGCTCCAAAGAAGTTATATCAAGTGAACTGTAATGACCTGACTAGATAATACGAAACCTTACAGTGTTAATAAAATAAGGACGTATTTAAAATAACTGTAATACAACAACTATACTTTTCTACAAACGCTTGTAATATAAGATACTTACCGAGGCAATCGATGTCGTGGGCAGGGAATCAAACCAAACAGCTGAGGAGTGCTATACAGAAAGTTGACAATTTGCGGTAGAAAGAATAGTAATAATGTTTTGCTGAAATGACCCAAAATACCGACTACAGCGAAAGTCATGCCTGCAAAATAACAGAATGTATCACCCACGAAAACCTTCGCCGGATAACTTTTGAAAAAGATAGGGAAATATTATTAGACTATTCATGATATATTAAATGTAAATTACTTATCTGAAGAATAAAAAGAATGACAAAATGGTAGCTTTGTAAATTTAAATGAAATGACAGAGATGCTGCAGATAAGTTGCTTTGACCTAGTGGTTAGATTGGGATTTATTCGCAGTACACGGGTTAAATATAGCCAAAACGCCGAATACGGTCTATATCGATATGAGTTGATTTGCTCTTCATAAAACGAGGACTGGTCGTTTTTCGAATCTCCAGCACTTACATAGCAACCTAGACAAACTTCCCTACTGTTTTCAGCGGCTTATGACACAGAGTAGTTATAAGCGCAGGTACCTGACAGTTTGCAGAAATACCTAATATACAGATTGTGCGATTTATGTACAACTGTGAACGACGGTAGGTTAATAAATGGCTAATTCATGTAGAGATTTTACAGCCGCAAATGAGGAGATATTATTCACATACTCACTATTCAAAAATCTCTTTCTGGGTAACAAATGTATATTAGCTCCACACATGTTTTTCAAAGCTACTTCCAAAATGTCATTGTTAAAAGTAAAGAGGACTGTAGAGAATAAGTAACTTTCGCTAAGCCCACAGTTGGTTTAGGAGTGGTCTTAGTTCGGTTGAAAAAAAGGAACCTTTAAATAGATTGGTGAATTAGTCTTTAGACTACATTGAGTCCTTCACTAAATTACACAAACAACCGGATGATGCGTTGAACAAATGTAACTGAACAAGTCAATCGAATCTGGGGAACAAAAGGTGGAAATAAGCGTAGATTGCACGAATTATATCAAGGGTATATTTGCAAATCCTAAATATTTTATTATTTACAATTTGTGTCCAATTTCCGACGAATATTTGATTATTACTAGAAGGGGTTTTGTGGAGAATTGGTAATTTCAATAGTTGAAATCATGAATCAATTGAAGCTAGACCACCATGGAAAACCTGGAAGCACTGGACGGCCGTTTCATCCTAGTATGGGACTCCTCAGCAGTGCGCATCCATTAACACCGTCGGATGCCGGATCAGTGGTCTAGTCGGTTAAGCGCCTGGCGCGAGACTGATAGGTCCTGGGTTCGAATCGCGAGGGGGGCGGGATCGTGGATGCGCACTGCTGAGGAGTTCCATACTAGGACGAAACGGCCGTCCAGTGCTTCCAGGTTTTCCATGGTGGTCTAGCTTCAATCGATTCATGATTTCAACTATTGGAATATTTGATTGTTTATTTCAATAAAGTTTCGTTTTGATGATTTCCCGTTCCAAACTGTTAGGACGTACGGCAACTAGTATTGATGCACTTTATGTAAGGTTATATGCTGACTAGTTAGTTAAAATGGATTGAACGATATTCACCATACTTTCATGGGAGTAGAAAGTGGACTAAAATACATGTTACTGTAAAATGCTTTATAAACAGTAATAAAACTGAAAAAAACTCACCGGTTTACACGATACAGAGACCAACACACAGACAAAAATGGGATCAGAAAGTAGAGTGAAAAAAGATGAACACGCCAGTGGTAACCTGAAATGTTAGATAGATTTATGGACGGATTACAAACGATACAAATAAGAAAGCAAAGTAAAAGGGTCCGGGCATTGTCATTTTATACTTATTGTGAAGAAATGGTATATTTAACGTATTTTTATTTATTTGTTTAGATGTCTTCATGTTTTACGCTTAGAAAAATTCCTCTGTTGTCAACGAAAGCATTTGTAAATTATAAGCATGGGAGTGATCGAACAGACATATTGAGAGATTAAAAGACTTACTTAGGCCCTTGGGATTAAAAAAAAATTTTGTGTTGGCCTATTTATTTTTTCTGAAAGTAGAAAGTTATCATTTAATGAATAGCAATTCACACAATTTACTCCTAATTATTATACACAATTGTATTATAGTCTTTAAGTATCAACTTAATTATACGTTAACATATAACGTAACTGATATAGTGAACATTTGTTAGGTTGATGTACAACTAACGTGAAAGATAATATATGACTACCTTGGCAAGTAGATTGAGATCCAAATAACTGGTAAATGTCCAGTTCCAAGACCACAGACTACAAACCTACGGATTGAAAACTTTAAATAATATTAAATAACTGTTGCTTTTAGTTGCATATCTCCTGAAAAAACTACAAAGAATAAACAAAGTATTGAAAAACATTTTAATAACTTACTAGAAAGTTCGATCAGATTGAATAAAATTAGAGAAGCACCAATCACAATTGCCTGACCAACTTCAAGACCATTTACTCCCGCATAGATGTTTATAGAATTAGTACAGAACACAGTCAGCAAACCCATATATATGTAATATAAAATACCTAGGTAATGTGAAATAATTTATCAAACATAATTCAAATATACTAGATTTTAGCAATGATTAGTAGTGAAAATGACGGGCATATACACTTTGATGAATGGCTGAACAAGTTAAGGTAAATGAGGAACGAAGGGATAATTTTCAACCTTATAAAGAAATTATTTAGATGTGAATCTAACTATACAGAAATAGACCCGCTTCAGTAAGTTCGAGTGTATTCGATGTTGGATGGGGAAAATGTCAATGATATCTTGAAATTAGATTCTATAAAATAATATGATACTTTTATAACAACTAGTAGCAACTAGACGGCAACTGAGATCTGAGATGAGTTCTGGAAACTAATCACTTACGATTTCTAAGATGCTAAGTTCACTAAGGGAAAGGGACACAAATTGTTTTACACTTCTGAAACAGGTTAAGAGATGGAAAAGCCTTATCAAGTAGAATACTAAGGATCGAATTTATGCCTGGTACTTTTCCTAGCTGGTTCAGAACAGTTTAGAGGATATAGCAAGTAAAGCACACAACCACAGTCTCACTGAGTAACCAATTTATAGAACCAACCACTACAGTGTCTGAACCCTTAATTTGTTTACTTGAACAAAGAATGTACACAAAAGCTAACAGTAAGACTATTTTCTATAGAGGACCTTTGAGCAACGCTAAAATGACCCTAGAATGTCTACTTACTTACCGGGGTTAAATGAGGGTTATATATTAATGTTTCCATCACGAAATGACATCAGCTATAATACCGAAATGGCATTTGGCCAAATGAGTGAATGAATTTCGCGCCGAAATCCAAGACCTGCTATCTTAAATTTGACTGGTTGGTCTATAAATTATAGTCTCGCCAAGCTTACCGTAAATGAACGAACTTTTAAACCAAAAGTCCGAATACACTTCTAGGGATAAAGTTTTTGAAGCATGCTGTATGCAGTTGATAAACTAGAATTTCCAGGGATCAAGCACGACGTTAAAAAACGACTGAAATTCAACAAATAGTAACTAGATTAAATATGTGTTTACGCCAAAACAATTTGCAAAACAAAGGAATGTAGCACTTAGAACACTAGTACTTCATATGCTAAGGGAATCTAAACGTACCAATATCTACGCTATTACCGAAAGCGTTTCTCAGCATAACTGGGACAGCTATGCTTGTGGTCCCCTCATTGGCTAGATAGACCATCAGTAAAGGTAAGCCTGCAACAAATGGAAAACCAATTTTATGCCTCCAAGGTAAGTTGAGGGCGTCGTCGGCAAATCCCAAGAAAAGCATGCAGCATATGGACAATAAACCAGCAAGAAATTGAATGAACTATAGGTGAATATGGACAATCATGATGATTTACTCATACCTGGCTTTTAAACATAATTTCCTGTTCCCCGATGAATTTGTTTGTCGGGCACACCTGTCACAAGTAGGGTAGGTCAACAAATTTTTATACCTCTAGTGATTGCACATCAGCTTTGCTAACGAGGTATCTCCAAAAGGGAACAGGAATGAACAGAAACATGATGGAGAGAAAAACAACACCACATATTACTCCCTGGGCTTCAGGTCTTAGAGAAAAGTGAAAAGAATTTGAAGGCCACATACATTGTTGGCTTAGACGGTTTATTCATGTCGACACCAGCAAACCCAGCACGAAGAAACTCTCCTTTATATTTTTTGAAAAGCTTCAGCACGTACTTTGCACCAAATATAGACATACAGAAGAGAACGAGGAGCTCGAAAAAATGACGATGGGTACTTAACAAGTGCCCTTCGTTTGTAGATGCACATGTAGAGTCCATAACGGTGTACCAAAACCGAATACTCGTGTGATTATGATGAGATCGACCTTCAGACTCAATTATCCCGCGTCATATAAACTGAACTTATTCTAGTAGTTTTAAATATCTGTGAACGCTCAAATAGTGCTTGACGGAATCGGAAAACTTTCACTAGATAGGCTTACACACACAGTAGCAATGGATTACCGACGCCTTCAGGTAGGAACATGTGTATATTTAACAAACAAAGGAGAAATATTGGTAAAGTATGGTAAAATACCGTCCTGAGTCCCCTTGAATTTGTCACATTTCTTCTTAGAAGACTCCTAGGAAGTGGCTTGAACGATCTCAGCTAGCAGCGAATTCCAGAAGTTGACTACTCGTGAAGAGTAAAAGGTGCGCCTACAGTTCATTCTGCCATTCTGTGTCTCTAATTTCTAGGTAGCACCCCTAAGGTTTGTGCTGGGACTGAGCTTATGTATTTGCCGATGATTGTTTAGTTTGTTATAAGTCGTTAGAAGGCCACCTTCTGGACTTTATTAAGAACAGATTCAGTGATCAGAGGCGCTCATCATAATCTTTGATTTTGAGTTCTCGAAATGACTTCGTGGCTCGATTTTAGATACGGTCTAGTGTATTCTTTTGCTTTTGTAGCGAGGGAGAAAACGCTATACTTTTATAAGGTAAAATAAAACTGTTGAAGGCTTTGCGGAAAGTTCTATCATCCGACTGGCCAAGGATGCGCAACAACGTTGCCAGTGCAAGGATTGCTCGGATGGCATTTTCATCGCGGTTAGCATCAGACATTAGGTTATAGGGTATTACCACGCTTAGACCTTTTTAACTTCAATTACTTGTAGAGTGGAGTTGTCTAAAGATGATGATTAGAAGTATGTGAATTAGTGTATTAACTAGGAGTTCCCGAAACAATGCAATTAAAGTAAAATGTTTATACAAACACCACACTAATTGCTATGTGTAGTCTGCAACACAACTCGGATGAATAACTTTACACTCTGAATTGCTTAAGTTTAGTCCGTTGTTGTTTGGCCAACTTTGGTGTCCAGGCAGACCCTCCTGAAATGTCCGCTTACCATCTTGATTGCAAACTTCTGTCTAGAGTTTCACGTCATCAGCGAAATGTAATAAATTGAGCGATACTTGCAGAGGAAGTTGATCCATTTGTATCTTTTAGGAAAAAAAGATGTCCTATTACTGAACCCTGAGGGACCCGAACAGGACGTTCCGTAGCCGCGAAAAAATTGAAGTTCACCCTAACCCTAAAATGTTGGATATTTGAATACGAAGTGAGTCAGTAAGCTAGCGATGATCTGATACTCAATAATTATATGACATCAACTTTCCGGCTAAAATAAAAGGTGACTGTCCATCTGTGTACCACAGTCAGCAGGCGGGTTATACAACAGTGTCCATTTATGGAACTTTTTAAGTTGAAATTATGTTTGTAGATGACAGATGACCACATAGACCTTTACACGTCAAGGACTTTATAACTTCTAAATGTATGGAACGGAGTGCTGCCCTTTGGTTACTTAAAAACTTGTAGAATTATGGTCTACTATGATTTTAGTACTGCTCTAATAATAGACCGAATCCTAAAATTGTAGATTTGTTATGATGTAACTGCCTAATCAATAAAATCTTACGTGGAAGTCATATCATCTACCCAACTCACTGCATCGTAACAATTACCAATACATGATAGAGATCAACCTTAGGCTAGAGATAGAACAATATATTTAATATGAATAAAAGATATAAGGTAACATTCAATAGGGACCACACCTGTATGGTCGAGCCACGCCATCCGATGAACTCCAATTTATTCAATTCATTATCCCAGCCTTCTCCATTGTTACTATTTCTACGCGTTAAATATTCAATATACATTTTCCGAGTAGTTTCGTGTTCAGCTTTGAGGATTGCGTGGTTATAATCCAATGTCATTACAGACTCACCAAGTTAGCTTCCTTTGAAAATTGTTATGATGTGCGCCAGCTTTCTCATCGTAACGAATGTGAAGCTAACATACTAAGCGGTGCTGCAAAAGCCGCTTATTTAAGTATGGTAAAGCGAATCATATCCATGCCACTAGAACTGTCTTTGTTTAAATGCTGCAGTTTCTCGTACGCCAATCCAGAGCTTAGGTTTACTTCCGAGACTCCTGTTAGGTTTTGGGTGCAGTCCTTGTCATTGTGCGTTTTAAAGGTCGAAATGTTCGAAAATCTCGGTGGCATCTTCCTCGTTGTTATTCGGATCATTAGGATCTAACGAGTTTTTCATTTCATAATATTTGTGTGTGGGCTATGATACTGCCCGGGTGCCTAGACTGAAACAAGACGTTTTCTTAAAGGGCCACACCCCGAGCCCTTGACCTAAAGGTCTCATCCACATGGTGGTGGAGCATCGTAAGGAGACGCAGTCCCTCGGTAGCCGGGGACCAACGATCGGCTCACACACCATTTGTTCCTTCATGATCCTGGAGCCCATGTGCAACATTGGTTCGAGATCCGGTTAAAGCGCCGGACATTCACTTTTCGTCCTCTCATTTTCGTAAAGAACATCCCCTCCACAGGAATGCAGTGAGTAGGATTTCCCTGGCAGAGGCTGTATACGCGTGATCGCGTGAGAGTATTTCGAGAGGGAGGGCCCACCCCACTCTCGGCCATACCAGGGCATTTGGGGGCAGAAATATTACGAAATATTGATATATATGGAAGATACTTTTCTTGCTTCAATTAACAATCAAACGGTTCACACTGTCATTATTATTGCTATTATTGTTTTCGATAATGTAATAAGAAGACGGAGATTATCAAAACTATGTGATATATTAGCGCAATACATTTCGAACAATCTGATCACACATATACTTGTTAAGAGCATTTATATATAAAAATAAAAGGTCAACTAGACTGGAAATGGGGTAAGAGGAGATAAGGATAATAATCACTCTGGAGTGATTAGGTTTTGAATTGTGTTCAGATTATTATTAATATTATTATTATCATTATTATTATTACTCTTATTATTATCCTTATCTCCTCTTACCCCATTTCCAGTCTAGTTGACCTTTTATTTTTATATATAAATGCTCTTAACAAGTATATGTGTGATCAGATTGTTCGAAATGTATTGCGCCAATATATCACATAGTTTTGATAATCTCCGTCTTCTTATTACATTATCGAAATTTATAAAAGGGACTATTATTGTTTTATTACTATTATCATTATTATTATTATTACTATTGTAGCTATTTTTTACCACGTCATTTATTCACTCCCTTTTATTGCCACTCTGTCTATCCTTATGTTTCGACTTATACAGCAGCTCGCCTATGGTGGAAATTTGGTTCTATCTAAACGTTCTCGAGTTACTGCCTGGTTAAAAATTATGGGTACCACCAAATACGAAACCACGCGCACCATTCAAACTAGCTGCCTATAACGTTCGCACACTTATGCAGGTCGGACAACAGATAGGGCTGGCTATGTCTTTGAAAAGTCATAATATCGATGTTTGTTGTCTATCCGAGGCCCATATTCAAGACTCTGGTGAAGTACTACAAGTTCGCTCTCCATCTGTCACTTCAAAAAGCTTGTTTTATGTGCGTTTATCCGGGGACCCTGTGGCATCTTCGTCTGGTCTTGCTGGCGTTGGTGTCGCACTAAGCGCAAGAGCTGATGCAGCACTAGTCGACTGGATCCCCATTAACAGTCGGTTATGTGCTTTTAGATTAGAAAGTTCCATCAAAGTGAGAAGAAATCGGCGTGAGAAACGATGTCTTTTCGTCATCTCCGCCTATTTAAATTGCCCCCGACAGATTGCAGCCCGGATGCACTCAAGGACGAGTTCTACCATCAGCTAACTGATCTTCTCCAGAAAGTGAGCTCGACAGATATCGTAGTATTAGCCGGAGGCTTGAATGCTCAGGTCGGGCGTCTAGGCACAGAAGAGAGTCGTTTAGGTGGCCGATGGGGACTCGTTGGTCACAGGACAGATAACGGGGAACGTCTACTGCAACTGTTTACAGACCATAACCTGTTTCTGGCCAGCACTAACTTTCGGCACAGTCATCGCCGATGTGCCACCTGGCGTCCCCCTTCTGCATCTCAAGCCTGGACTCAGATTGATCACATCGCGATCAGCTACCGCTGGCGCGGTTGTGTACAAGACTGCCGCTCCTTTTGGAGTACCTATCTGGAATCTGATCATGCTCTGGTCTGCGCCAATCTTACCTTACTTTTCAGTGGACAACGAAGTGACCGCCACCAAAGGATTGGTGTTAGCAAGCTGGCTGCAACTTCTGTTGCTAGTAAGTATCAAACCGAGCTAGCTTCTAGGCTAGCTACCATTCCACCGAAAAGTATAGATGAGCATTGGTTGCAATTGCAAAATGCCATGAAAATGGCGAGTAAAGTCAGTGGTGGCTCTGGGAAACATCCTGCTTATAAGCACTGGGTTTCTTCTGGTTCCTTACAACTCATTAAAGCCCGTCGGTCTATTCTGGGTGACCGTGAGTTTGACCACAGACGAAGGATGTTACGTAATGAAATCGGGCAAAGCTTGCGTAAGGACCGAGAAGCCTGGTGGTCGGAGCGTGCAAATGAGCTGGAAGCAGCAGCTGCATCTGGTAATTATCGGAAGCTCTTCCAACTCATCCGAGCCACTGGCAACAAAACGTCTGGTGTGAGCGAAACAATCTGCGAGGATGACAGAACGCCAATCACTAACACCCATCGACGTCTTGGACGATGGGCAGAATTTTTCGAAGGGCAGTTCAACTGGCCTGCTGCTCCGGCAACATCGGTCAGACTGTCCTGCTCTCCATTGCCGGTGACGACTGATCCACCAAATGAGGCGGAAGTTCGCAAGAAACTCCAACTCTTAAAACGTTACAAATCACCGGGCCCAGATGACTTACCCCCAGCTCTTTTTAAAGATGGTGGTGACTTTCTGACTAAGGGACTGACGACGTTGTTTACAAAGATCTGGGAACTAGAGAGTGCACCGATGTCATGGAATGAGTCGATAGTTGTCCCAATCTTTAAAAAGAGTTCACGTTC